ATCGCTCAGGACGTGACATCACACAGCGACTCAGGTACCAGGAACCAGGAAGATTAATATGTCATATGTCTTTTTATTTTCATGTGACACAATGGCCGAGATATGTGACATTTAACACACATCAGATGCAATAAACTTAACTCATTGGCTGCCAAAGACGTCTATAGACGTCTTTTATGTTTTTCAACGAGAGTGGCTTGGGGGACGATCTGCTAAAGCTTGTCCGTAAATATCAGGCTTCTAGACAGAGTATGTAGTAACAAATTGGCCCTCTAGGGGGCAGTGCCACTTTTGATGGGAGATGAGCATAGACTGTAGGCAAATAAGAAAAAGCTAACGGTTCTATGAGAGAACATGTCGCCAGTGAGACGCAAGTCCAGGAAGAACGGAATAAGGTAGAAACACATTTTTTTCCTGATGAAAGAAGAGAGTCTACTCTTTCTTTTGGTGTGTTCGGTGTTTACATAGTCATAGCACAAACTATTCTGTGGCTCATGAAAAATCAGTCGAAATGCTCAAAAAACAGTATGGGACCCTTTGTTCTGAAAATGGCTGGCCGTCAATGAGTTAATATGTCATATCTCTTTTTATTTTCATGTGACACAATGGCCGAGATATGTGACATTTAACGAACATCAGATGCAATAAACTTATTAAACAGTCATGAACATTTCACAAATGCTGTAACAAAAATCCTGCAAAGAATATTCAGTGTAACAAGTCCTGAACCAAAACAATACTGTAGCCTGGCGTCATATTCGGAAACCAACACACAGAAAATGTTCTGTCAGCAGATCTCCTGGAACGCTGTGGTCGCTGTGCTGTAATATAATATTAATATAATAATATTATAATATTATTAAAAACGTTTTCAGCTCCTTTCGCTTGGCGGCGCAACCGAGTCATGCCTCCAACGATTTCATAGAAATGATGATAAACTGCAGCATAACATGGAGGACGATGGATTTCAAACAAAAATAATTATTTTTTTTGTTGATTCCCTGTTTATTTTGGATGTATTTGATATAAAAACTCAATTTTTATACCCGTCCTGCCCCACAGAGCTTGATTTTCTCACACCGAACAGTAAAACCTGCACACCGGGCGCACGATCATTTCATCACGGTCATTTCGAACCCTGAGAACACATTCAATTCAATTCAATTTTATTTCTATAGCGCCACATTACATCAGCAGTTATCTCCCTCTTTCCAAACAGAGCAGCTCAGACCAACTCTGAAGTTATTTACAGAAGAATAACAATTCCCATCCATGTTTTCTCTGAATAATCTGTCCTCCCTCCTTCTGTCCTGCCTCCTTCTATCCTACCTCCTTCTATCTTCCCTCCTGTCCTCCCTCCTTCTATCTTCCCTCCTTCTGTCCTCCCTCCTTCTGTCCTCCATTCTTCTGTCCTGCCTCCTTCTATCCTCCTTCCTTCTATCCTCCTTCCTCCTTTCCTGTCTCCTTCTTTCCTCCCTCCTTCTGTCCTGCCTCCTGTCCTTCCTTCTGTCCTTCCTTGTGTCCTTCCTTCTGTCCTCCCTCCTTCTGTCCTCCCTCCTTCTGTCCTGCCTCCTTCTGTCCTGCCTCCTTTTTTCCTCCCTCCTTCTGTCCTCCCTCCTTCTGTCCTCCCTCCTTCTTTCCTCCCTCCTTTTTTCCTCCCTCCTCTTATCCTCCTTCCTTCTGTCCTACCTCCTTCTGTCCTCCCTCCTTCTGTCCTCCCTCCTTATGTCCTCCCTCCTTATGTCCTCCTTCCTTCTGTCCTCCCTCCTTATGTCCTCCCTCCTTCTGTCCTCCATTCTTCTGTCCTGCCTCCTTCTATCCTCCTTCCTTCTATCCTCCTTCCTTCTATCCTCCTTCCTCCTTTCCTCCCTCCTTCTGTCCTCACTCACTCCTTTCCTCCCTCCTCCTGTCCTCCCTTCTTCTGTCCATCACTTTTCAACATGAGTCTGACAACTAAGTAAGTAGGTAAATAACTTTAAACTTTAACACATGCTCTGATAGGCCGGGATCGGGATCGGATCGGAAGTGAAAAAAGCTGGATCGGACATCCCTAGTCTTCCTCCCTCCTGGTGGGATTTAATGGGAACGCAGATCACATGCATTGTTTTCTCTGAACCTTCTGTCCTCCCTCCTCCTGCCCCCCCCCTTCCCTCCCCCCCCCCCCCCCCTCCCCCTCTCAGAGATGCCGTCCCTCCGTGCTGGAGGCCAGAAGGTGCGTCCCTCCTCCTCCTCCGTTCAGGCGCGGCTGCACTCCTACAGCAGCTCTCTGAGGAAACCTCGAGGCCTCGGACGCAGCCTGAGCTCCTACCTGAACCACGCCGCCAGGCTGGGTACACACACAGTACACCAAGATGGGATGGGATATAATATATGATGTCATGATGTCATTGGATCTACAATATGATGTCATGGTGTCATATCAACAATATGATGTCATGATAATGATGAAATCAATAATATATGATTATGATGATTTCAGTAATATGAAATCTTGATTAGGATGATGTCAATAATATGATGTCGTGATCATTATATTCATATATTAATCATTATGATATAAATAACATGAAGTTCTGATTATGATTACATCAATAACATGAAATAATTATATGATATCAATAATATATGATTATGATGATATCAATAATATATGATTATGATGATATCAACAATATGAAATCTTGATTAGGATGCTCTCAATAATATGATGTCATAATCATTATATTAATATATCTGAATTATGATGATATAAATAGCATTAAGTTATGATTATGATAATATCAATTACATTAAATCGTTATATGATATCAATATGATGTCATGATATGATATCAATAATATATGATTATGATGATATCAATAATATATGATTATGATGATATCAACAATATGACATCTTGATTAAGATGCTCTCAATGATATAATGTTATGACAATTATATTAATATGATGTAATAATTCTGATGATATAAATAACTTGAAATCATGATTATTATGATATCAATAATATGATGTCATGAAGATCTCAATAATATTGTCATGATATGATGAAATCAATAATATATGATTATGCTGATATCAAGAATATGAAATCTTGATTAGGATGATCTCGATAATATGATATCATTATATGATTAAATCAATAATATAAGATTATGATGATTTCAACAATATTAAATCTTGATTAGGATTATCTCAATAAAATGATGTCATGATAATTATACTAATATATCTTAATCATGATTATATAAAAAATATAAAGTTATGATTATGATAATATCAATAATATGATGTCATGATAATGATGAAATCAATAATATATGATTATTGTGACATCAACAATATGAAATCTTGATGAGGATGCTCTCAGTAATATGATGTCATGATAATTATATTAATATGATGTCATAATTATGATGATATGAATAACATGAAATCATGATTATGATGATATCAATAATATGATGTCATGATGTGAAATAAATTATATTGTGTCATGATTAGAATTGTATCAATAATATGATTATGATGATATCACTACTATAGGATGATCTCAATAATATGATGTCATGATATGATGAAATCAATAATAT